AAGAAATTCACGATGAAAATAAAATGATTCTAAAAATATTTCATTACAATTAATTCGATTAATTTTGTTTCGTAAGAAAAATAATTCTCAATTTGTTTAATATATTGCAAGATCGTAAATAATAATTATTGTTCATTTTTTTTATTTTTTTGGTTAATGTGAAAAAAATATATAAAAGTGAAAGAACGTATATGTTTTGATATTGTCACCGATTCTAAAATTTCACGAGGAAGGGCCTCCCTCCTGTTGTTGGTTGTATCGTAACGTTTTTAATATCCGTCCTTCTTTTATTTCGCCATTATTTTTCCTTATAAAACACGTTCGTCGAATGTTCGTTACAGCAGGCAGAGACAGACGACGACGCATTGCACAGTTGTGTGTTATGCGCACCATAACGAACGAGAAAGCAAAGCAAAGAAAATAAACGAAAAGTTTTATGATAGAATAACAATAAAAGAAAATATAATTGGTCAAGACGTTTGTACGCCTATTTTTCTTTTTTTTTTAAAAGCGCGAAAACTACCATAAATTATTATTTCAATTATTTGCAATATATACTGAAAAAAAAAAAAAAAGAAAACAAATTCAAATTTTATGCACAAACTTTGCATTAATTAATCGTTCAAAAACTGTCGACTATTTCATTCGAATTTTTCTAATCAACGATAGAAGCAATAATAATAAATAAATAAAAATTTCTAAATAATAGAGAAAATCTCTCAAGGGTTGGACAAATTTTGACAAAAAAAAAAAGAATAGTCGTCAAACATTAAAACCACTTGGCGTCTTCGTCCTCGAATTTGCCTGATTTGGCATTTTTTAAATATGGCTTCCCACAACCAGGGAAAAGGATCCCTCCGATCTATGAAGGCAGACCAACGAAATATATATTCGCACACGTATACCTAACCACCCTTATTTCTAACACACACACACACACACACACACATGGAAGAAGCCCTAACCACTCCCTTATCCAGAATATAAGTGGATCGAATTGAAATTTTATTAAGTGTATGCGTCGGCTTTCGTCTCACCATCGGCCAAGTCGGCTTTTAAGAGACTTTTAGAAAGCAGGAACGTAAAGGGGGAATCGAGAACCCTCGACTATACACCCCTATATCCACCCACCCCCTTCTCTCCCCCTCTTAACCCTCCAACTATCCCTTAACGTACGACTACGCGGAAGCTGCATTATGTGGGTGGTCTGTTGAGAGAGACGTAAGGGGGAGTGTTAAATGGTCTCCCGTTGACAACAACCCTCCCCCCCCCGGACCCCACCCCACCACCTTTTTTTGCTTTTTCCCTTGTTCTCTATGCGAGAACGAATTATCCCCACGTCGATTCCTGTTATCCACGATATGAAATTATTTATATTTATACGAAAATTATCTTCTATGATTATCATTATTATTCTTATTAAAATTATATTGATCAAATTTTAAAATATACAATAAAATCATTTATTTATTATTGAATATATGATATAATTGAAAGGAAAATAAAAGTGATATTAAAAAGATTAAAAAAATGGAAAATTTGTCCACACCCCTGTTTTATTTTCTCATAAAACAAATTATCAACACGTTGAATCTCCTCTAATTATCCAATAGACGATAGAAAAATGCAAAATAGATTTATATGAAAACCATTACCCTTTTTCTTGGGCTTTTAAAGATAAAGGATTATTTTTATTTTCTCAAATTCGAATATTCTTTTATAAAAACCCCTAAAGAAAAATTTCCAAAGAAAAAAATTGATAACATTAAATAATATCATTCATTTTCCAAACAATAAATCGAGAATAATTTCCATGAATTATCCAAAAGTTACGAGAGTATTAATTACAAATCTCCAGCCCCCCCCCACCCTCGAAATGAAACAACAATGCAATTTGCTAGAATGGCACGTTGCCAAACAATGTTATTATGCACCTTTTGTAACCCAGAACACCGAGAGCACACTGAGATATGTGACAATAAATGATAGAATTGAAAATAAAAAAGAAAACAAAAACCGAACAAACAAACAAACAAAAAGATAATAGAAATGTAACCCGGCTTGCGTGTATTTGTACATATATATGTGTGTAGGTGTTGCAACATGTTCGTTTAAAAGAAGACGAACTAATATTTGCAATGACACCTCTTTTGGCTGGGTGCATAAGAGTTGGCAGTAGCTTTTACGAGTACTGAGTTTACACATATATATATATATATATACATGTGTATAAGAACGAACAGAGGTAGTGCAAGAGAGAGAGAGAATGAGGGGGGAGAAAGGTAGTAGACGATTTAGTGGTCGTAGGGCGGTACACACGTGTTCTACGGAATTCAATGCGACCGCTAAAGGAGGAAACCTTCCGATGCAATATACGAGAACGCTACAACGAGATAAAGGGCTTGTAAGAGACCTCGTTGCAGTTTACTATAAAAACTAAGAGACGGAAAAGTAAAAAGGGGAATGAAAACAAATAACAAATAAATCTAGAAGAAGAAGAAGAAGAAGAAGAAGCAAAAGAAATGAAAATTTATTAAATACTTTTATTTACTAAATAATTTCTAAATTTATTTTACTAAATGAATATATAATACATTTTTGGAATAAAGTTTCGTGTGTGTTATTAATGTAAACAATTGATTAAAAAAACAAAGTAATTAAATTAATTTCGAATAATTTGAAATAATGAAAAGATAGAAAGGGAGGACAGAGAGAGAGAGAGAGAGAGAGAGAGAGGGATTTGAAAAATTCGCATGGTTGACCATGATTAAACGAACTCGACGAGGCTTGGAAAAACATTTTTCAGATTCGCTTATTGAAAAGTTTACGCTTGATTTCTCGTACGCGTTTCGACTCGCATGATTACAATTTTCATTTTCATTCGACGAAATGAAAATAAAATAAAGAAAAAGAGATATGAAAAAAGAAAATAAAACAAAAAAATAGAAAATAAGAAATGCGAATGTAAATAGAAATAGAACATATTTTGGGGTTTTTTGCTTTTCGATGCAATAGAAAGAAAAAAATGTTTGTTTTTAACACGCGCGAATGATTATTAAAATGTAATATATTTGATTTTTTTGTTGTTCTTTTTTGAGTATGAAATAAATTCGACACGAATATGTGGAGAGCGTATATTTGAATAATAATTTATGTTTCAGATGGGTTACATGCAAGTAGTGATACCACCGGATATTATGGATGACGAATCAGCGAATGGTTTGGTCACACACGAGGGTGGTAATTTGAGATTAAGATGCGTGGCTACTGGTCTACCAAAACCAACAGTCAATTGGAAACGAGAAGATGGAAGAAAAATTGTATTACGCGAGGACGGACAGAAAAAACGTAAGCTTTTGCAATATTATTATTCAATAATTTCGTGTAAAAATTTGTCGAATAAAATAAAAAACTTAGAAATATTTTTCTAACACGAGGTAAATCAACAAATTTTGTCGAATTAATTAAATATATTAATTATCATCAATGTGTTTTTTTGTTTCTCTTGTTAAAACACATACACACGTGACAGGGTATAAATTCTTCTGGTTAATATTTTAACGAACGTAAACTGTTTCGTTCCGGAAAAATTTATTTTTGTAAAAATAAATTCTGCAAGGTTGTAAAAAAAAAAAAAAAAAAARKTWAARKTWWTTTTTTTTTKKTGTTTTTCATTTGAAATTTTCCAAAGGATAATAGTAGTAGTAGCATAGTAACTTGAAGTTAACTTCTGCCTGGAAGAATTTACGGGAAGGCGTCCACCGTAAAACAATAGGGGGAAAGAGAAAAGCATCCGCATGCGGAACCTTGCTTCCGGGTTCCCGGACACTTCCGTGCTTTCTTGTCTCTTGAAAGTCACTCGAATTTAGAGTACCGTACTACTCGGTGTCTCTCCTGATATTTCAGATTTCTAGAATGCTCCTAACAGACTTCGTTGTTGTGTTGTTTTCAACCTTTTTCCACGTTTTCTTAACTCTATAAGAATAATGCGATGTGAAAATTAGAAAGTAAAAAAGAACAATAAAAAGATTAACCCCTTAGTTACCACTACTCGGATTTAATTATACTTTTACTCTCTTAAATTGTAATACGACAAAACAAAAAAGTTGATATAATTAAATATTATTATATGAAAATGAAATCTAATATTAATAAATATTAAATACGTGTGCACAAATATTTTCGTTCAAAATAATATAATTTATTTAATATTTTATTTTGAATAGTAAATTTTTGGAATATAAAATTAATCAATTTTCAAAGTATACCAATTATTATTGCAAAAGAGTTAATACTTCAAAAATTCATATTTCTATAAAATAAAATGAAACAAAAAACAATTCGTAATAATTTGATTGAATTGTTGATTCTCCTTATTTCGGTTTCTAATTTTTTCTTTCTATTTCACTTGGACCATTCATTTTTGTTTTCATAGTTTTCGACACTTACGAGGGTGAAACTCTGGAACTTACTGGAGTACAACGACAAGAGATGGGCACGTATCTCTGTATAGCCAGCAGTATTGTGCCACCAAGGGTCAGCAAACGTTACACCGTTTCTGTTCACTGTAAGTATCACTACAAGCTTCTGCAAACCACCCTTCTACTTCTCTAACTCTCATTCAGTAATTACACGAGCATCCCTTAACCGTGCATAAATTAATATCACTCGTCTTTCGAGAAATTATACTCGAATTTAAACAATATGAAAATTATTATTATAACGCTAATTTAAATAATCGTAACACAAATGTATTATATATTTGCGTTAATACGTGTAATTAAATATATTAATAACATTCAATTAATTATATTTTATATATTAGCTTTTTTTTTAAATATATTTAGAAATTTAATCGAATGAAAGTATCACACGTTTCGCGAATTTGTAATTACATTTCCAAAAACAACGTTTCAATCATCCATTTTGAATGCGATTATTATTTTCGTATTTAATGCAGGTATTTATATATATATATATTATCAAACGTATGAACATTTAGGTTTGTCGATAAAAATCAATCAGATTGTATGAGCTTAAAATTACAGGACATTCGAATATTAATTATTTGCGATAATGAAAAATCCAATTATCAATGATTAATTCAATAAATTTAATAATATCGCATAAATACCATTTCTACTAATTACAATTTTAAATGTTCATAGAGATTGATGATTAAATATTTCAAATGTAATTATTAATTGTTATTTTACGTCATTTAATTATCATCACAAACGCATTTATATCTAACAAAATCTCGATTATTTCAATTGAAAATTTGTAGTAACAAAACAAAACAAAACAACGTAGGGATGCTCGATTTCAAATAGAACATAATTCATCATTTTTCTCTTAACGTGAAAAAAAAAAACAAAAAATAGAAATATAAAATAAAAATACATAAATTTATATATTTATAATCAAAAAATATTATAATATAATCGAACAAAAAAAATCTGCTCGAACTTACCTAGTTGCTACCCGATGCACGCGTGGCATATGCATATCTGCATACATACATATATGTGTATGTGTGTGTAGATATGTGTGGTAAAAAATCGATCATCATAAAACTACAGGAATAATTAAAAAGAAGCGTGTGTGTTGAAAGTGGTAGTTCGGTTGGTAGAAAATGAATTTCCCTAACGTTTGGAGTTTTAACGTTCCTCGATAATTTTCATTAGACCACTTAGTTGATTGTTCATATTCAACGTGTTGAATATTTAACTCCATTTTTTCATCTATCTCTTTTACATTGACTTTTTCTTTTTCTTATTTATTATAAACCCTCATTTTATTTTATTTCTATTTGATGTTCTGCAGTATGTCGTAGAATATGTTGTTTTATTTTTACGAAATTTCTTCTTCTATTTTATGTTCTCTCTCTTTTTCTGATACAGTCGAACCACTGATCAGAATACCCAATCAATTGGTGGGTGCTCCAGTTGACAGCGATGTCGTACTACAATGCTACGTCGAAGCTTCCCCGCAAGCTATGAACACCTGGTACAGGGACTCAGGTGAGAGAAATGCCTAGTAATTGTCAATGCGTATGTATGTTTCGTTGATTCAACGAAATGACAGTAAAAAGAAGGATATAAATAAAAATAAGAGAGAAAGAGAGACAGTGAATACGAAATATTTTTCTCAAACACGCACAATTATAATTAAACAAAATTATAAACTTTAAACCGAAACGTTTCATTATTTTGCATTATTTATCAATATTTTAAATACAATTACATACAATATTGTTCTGTTATTAAAAAAATAGAAATAATACGTTAAAATATTATGTGATTTCATATTTAAATATAATCATCCAATACATACAAAAGTATATACTATATAATAATAATAATAGGAAGATATGGGGATAAATAATATGTACTCTTAACTTTCCCCTTCTACACCACTCATTTATTTTTTCTCTCTCTCTCTCTCTCTCTCTTGTTTTCCCACTTTCTATCACGTCGTATTACATAGTACTTTCAACTACAAATCTACCTGCGGTATGACGTTACGCGTGCGAAATGAACGACGTGACGTATTCACGAAAGCTCTTGCCCAAATTAAAACCGATGCAATATCACCATGGTATAGGGGAAAAGCTGCCGCCGAACGACAAATACACGATGTCGGAGGAACAGTTGAGCGATTACTCTTGGCAGATGAATCTCACTGTCAAATCCCTCAAAAAAGCTGACTTCGGTGGATACGTTTGTTCAACGGTTAATGCCCTTGGAAAGGCTGAAGGATGTGTACGTCTCCAAGGTACCTAAACTCATTCATTTTTATTCGTTCGATTTAATCGATGTATTAGAAATAAATATATATTAACCCTTTGAGTGTTATAAACGCATATATGCGTTTGGTAAAAGTTGATACACGTGTTTTTATCAATGTTAATGTAAAATCATTGTATCTTGTCAGATGATATTATTGTGAAGAAAGAAATAATTGTAATTATTAAATATTATTTATTAATATTATCATCTGGTAATATTAATAATAAATTTAATCTAGTTATTTATCTCGTCCAAAATTATAATTCTTGATAAGGTATCACAGGGAACTTGGACATAAAAAGAAGTAGAACTTAATTTAACTAAGTTGAACGTTTCGTCCCTTTATTGGGACTTCTTCAGCAACTTAATCTTTACAGTTCAGCTTTTTTTTTCATTGGGTAGACGTACATTTTTCTTGTTATTAATATTCCAAACACAAAACATCTAAACTTCGTTAAATATTAGCTCGTTATAATTTGAAACCCACAACAAAACTCAAATTAACTTAAATTAGGTTCTACTTCTTTTTTTATGTCCAAGTTCCCTGTGATACCTCATCAAGAATTAATAATAAATTATTTCATTTATAGAAATTAGTTCAGTTATAAAAGTATTAAGCACTCAAAGGGTTAAGTATCTCGATACGGTGTTTAATGTTAATTATTCGTAAATGATTTGGTTTGTTTGTTTTCAATCGACAGAATTGCAATTATTCGATAAAACTACACCGAGTATTTTGACGAAAAATACTGAAACTAAATTACGAAAGAAATTGACAACCAAGGAGAGGAAAAAAACTAATGGTGGAAACAATAGCAACAGACGAAGAGTACACTTGGTGGGTGGTTACGATTCGGATTCGATAGGAAACGAAGACGACCTTGGAACAACGCAAATTATGGCTGGTAGTACTTCTCACGAAGGTGGTAAAACTGATCGACCATTAACCCTACCATCCGATTCACCATCATGGATAGAAATTAATTCAGCGAGTTCTAGACAAGGTTCGATTATTCGCAACACCGTTTTCATTTTTCTTATTTTATTAAGGTTGATGAGAAATTATTAAAGTTATTATCTAATCGGTTTGAATATAAATTCTCTAACGAAATAATTTTTACGAAGAGAAGAGAAAAAAACCCACCCCCACCCCATCGAAAACGACGATACTGTCCGTGTTTTGATTGTCATGATTTTTACGTTGCTTCTCGATTATTATTCATAAAATAATATTTGCTAAAATAGATGTGTTCTTTTACTTTTTTTTCTTATTTTATAATTATAAATATTGTAAAATATCTCATATTTTTTTTCAATTGTAAAATCGCGTTACGATGATTTAATTTTCTTTTTCTTTTTTCTTTCTTCCCCCGTTATTTTTTCTTAATTCTTTCCTTCGTTGGATTTTGATTTTGTTTTTTATTTTTATTTAAAAAAAAAAAAAAAACGTAAGCTTCCCTTTTGATTTGTTTTGTGCAATAATTAATGCGGCAGTAATAAGATTTAAAAAGATGAAAAAAAACGCACCGTGCGTATGCGACAATCCTACGATATCAAATAGAAATGTTTTTTCCATTCTGACGTAATACGAATATAAAAATAAATAAATAAATAAATAAATAATTAATTAATTAATTAATTAATTAAATGAATACGTGACTGTGTAAATACAGGAAAATAATAGATCAAAGTTAAACGCTGAATGCGATAACACAAGAGAACGGAAAAGAAAAAGAATTATTTTCTTTATTTATAATATAAAAATATGAACAATAATATATTTGTTTATAATCTTCCTCGCACGAATTTTTTCTATCCTCGCGACGTTTTGTTATTTCAATTTAATTTTCACTCTCTCTTTAAAATATTATATTTTATTTAATTAATTATTTCGATTATCGTATATTTTATACAAAGAAAGAAAGAAAGAAAGAAATATGTATCGAATAAATCGAACGAGTACAAAATCTAATTTAAATAATAATTATTATATTTTTCTTATTTTTTTTTTTTTTTTTAAATTATCTTTCAATTGTAAAAAGAATTATTTATTAAAAATTATTCACACGCGTATTAAAACCCCGTGTAATATAATTATTACACATCGATAAAGAAAAATATTTATTAAACAAAAAAAAAAAACAAAAAGAAAAGAAAGAAAAACGAATAAATAAGATTTTGTAATAAATTTTGTGTTGAAAAAAAAATACATTTAGTTTGACAATAGTTATCACAAATCGCAATTAACGTTCGATAATTGCGTCGTTTTGGTAGATGTATAAATCATATTTCTTTTGTAATAATTAAAAACACGAAAAATTAAAAAAGGAAAGAAAGAGAGAGAGAGAATAAAATAAATAAAAAGAAAAAAAAAAATATAATATATAAGAGCAGGGTGAAACGATTCGAAACCGTGCGAAAAAAAAAAAAAAGAAATAAAACACAAAAAAAACAAAACAAGAACAAGGTCTTCCTTCTAATCGATGTAATAAAACACGAGGACGCAAATTTTTAATAATAAAATAGTCCATTGATTAAAAAAAATTAAATAAATAAATAAAAAATAAAGATAAATAAAAATATCGAGCGAACACGAATGTGTGGTGCGACCAAAAGCGAAAGGATTCGTTGATTCTTTCGATTGAAAAACAAAAAAAGGCAAAAAAACACAAAAAAAAAGAAAGAAAATTATAAGGGGGAAGAAAAAAAAATAAAAGTCAAAAAGAGAAGAAGAAGAAGAAAGAAAAAAAAAAATTAAATTCTGTAAATACGAAAACTCTGTGAATGTGTGTGAGTAGTAAGAAATTAAAACACAAAACTTGGGCTCACGTGCCAGGATACTTAGTAGACTTATTTAGATAAAACAGGAATTATTTAAAAAAAGAAAATTGTAGATAAACTTTCGGAAGATTTAACGAAGAAGAAAATGGGGAAGAAAAAGAAACCCAAGAAAAAGAGAGAGAGAGAGAAAGAAAGAAGGATAGAGAATAAAATAAAACAAGCATGCAAAGGTATATCGGCAAAGAATGCAAAAATTAAATCAACGAGATTTAAACCAAATAAAAGAAAAAGAAAGAAAGAAAGAAAGAAAGAAAGAAAGAAAGAGAAAGAGAAAGAGAGAGAGAGAGAGAGAGAAAAAGAACAAAATGATTTGGCCATTTACTATCGTCAGATTAATTAATTACTTTGTTCCTTTTGTTATAAATTATGTATTCGTATAAAAGAATGACAAATTATTTGACGGAAAAAAAATATATGATACATGACGATCCTTTTTTTTTTTTCCTTTTTTTTTTTTTTTTTTGTTTAATCGTTACAAAAAACTTTTCATTATCATCGTCATTATTATTATTATTAATTATTCGAAAAATATAATTCAATGTGTATTATTACTTACGAACAAAAGATTATTTAACGTATAATTATAATAAGAAAATAAAAATAAAATAGCCCTTGTGACGCTTATCAAACTATTATAATAATATTTCCTTGTATGTGTAATATTGTGATGGAAAACAAAAAAAGAAAAAAATGTTTAATATTGCGTATAGAATAATCGTCGTTGCGTCAAAAAAAAAAAGAAAAAAAAAAGAAAAAAAAAAAAAACGTTATGTCGTCTTCCATAATATTTTCTTAAAAAAGGCCTCTATCGTAATAACGACGAAGATGTGAAGGGAAAAGAAAAAAAAAAAAAAAACATTAAAATTGGGAAGGGCCGACCGGGGGGAAAGAAAAAAAAAAAAAAAATGAAAATGATCGATTTCTGATATACTGTAGTCTCAAATGCGAAAGTGTGTGAGAGAGAGAGAGAGGATACGACAATAAATACAGTATGGTAGATTTCCACATCTCTGAAATGAGAATATTTATTTAAATAAACTCACTGGAATCTTCCTACGCGATATATATTATTAATAATAATAATAATAATAATGATAATAATGGATAATTAAAAGAGAAACAGGAAGGAAGAAGAAAAAAAAAAGGAAAGGAAAAGAAACCAAAAAAAAAAAAAACAAATAAAAAGAAAAATTAATAAAAACAAAAAAAAAACAAAAAAAGAATTATACGCAAGATCGCGCGTATTGAAATTGATCATCGTCTAATTGCAAATCATAATTTCCCGTTGTCTCGAAAAAAAAAAAAACGAAAAAAAAAATTAAAACAATCATTTGTCCCTTTAAATCAGGGCTTCTCAAACTTTTCCAATTGGCAAGTGCACCCCTTTAATTCGAACAAATAATTTCGTGAACCTAAATATAAAATCTATGCTATCTTCTTTTTTTTTATCATAAAATTATGTACGTGGTATAAGTGTTGATTGTTAGAAAAAGAATAAAATTCATTTATGATCTCGTTGCAGGTTTAAACAATTTTTGTAATATTGTTATAATTTTTACGACACACCATACGGGGTTGTGTATATATATATATAAAATTGAACACTTTGAAAAGCCCTGCTTTAAACGATCACGCATTTACATTGATCAAAGTTTAATATACATATAAATAATGAAACAATTAACATCTTTTATATAACGAATTAACGTCGTACTAATTCCAGCGGGTTTACTAAACGCACGCAGAGTTATGTGTGCGGGTTTGTAAACATTTCACATATATATATATATATATTAATTAATCGATCCCTTTTTATGTTTTTAAATATCCTTTTACCCGTTCGTCGATCACGATCGATAATAATAATAATTAGAAAAGGCAAATAGATTTTGTAACAATAATTCAAAAAATTCTTAACAATTTTATATAAACGCATATATATATATATTATAATTTATTTAAAAATACGTTATATAGTAGTATTGTAATGATTAATTTATTATTCAAAATGTGTTTTTAAAATTAAATAGACAACATTTTATTTTTTTTTACACAAAATTATTGTCGTGATCGACGACATGTTTGAGAGAAAAGGTAAAAATGAAAAAGATCTTTGTACAAGTGGGTGTTTGAATATTAAGAAAAAGAAAAATTAAAGTTAAGGAATGATGATGATGATGATGATACATATACATGGCAACGAGACATATGAATCATATAGGACCACATAATATGTATGTACATACACACTTATATAAACGTTAACGAATCTATTCGTGTAAATAATTAAAGAACAAAAATTCAATGTTGACTTTGTCGATAGGAATGATTAACGATGACAACGATAATAACGAATGGCTGATTATTAAAGAATGTTATACGCTTTTTAATTATTTAATTAATTATATTTATATAATTAATTAAATAATGATAAAAACGCGTAAACGGGAATCGATCGTTGTCTAATTTGAATTTAGATTTTGTATAAGAAAAATGAATAAAGTGAGCATTCAACATCTATACATACGTAAACATATAAATACATGCATAGATAAATGCATATATAAGTGCATACATGCATACATTTAATATAATACTAATAATAATAATAATAAAAATGTACCATATTAACGAATGCGAGAAATGATTTAAAAAAAAGGTTTGATTCGC